GGGGGGGGGGGCAAATGCTCTTTTTGCATCCCCTTGTGGACGCACATGTATAGTTGGATACAGGCATACAGCATAGATGTTAATATGGACGATAAGCCGCTACCGGCCGTTATATAAGTAAAAAGGCCAGTGCAGAGCGCAATAGTGAAAAATATTGGAACTAAAACTGTTAGGTGAGCGCCACACGGTGATGGGCTGGTATTTGCGAAACTACCATAAAGGTGCCTTTTCATGCTGACGATCGACGTTCATTTTTAACGTCAAAAAAGGTCACGTGATCAAAATCGACGACTAGGTGCGTTCCGAGTTACGCATGAAGCGCGTATACTGCATTACTGGTGGTAACGCTTTGAAATCGTTCCGTTTAGTCAATGCGCATGAAGCGCTTTAGTTATTCGGAACGATTTCCTATGCATTCTATGCGAGTTCAAGATGGACGCTATACAAGACGTCAATAAACAATTTCTAATAATTGTAATTTCTTCTTTAATACTTTTAAAGAAAAATGATGAAAATTCCGATGACAGTTCCGACTCGAGCGATAGTGAAAATGAAGTCAAAGGCATATCTCGTGATATGCAAAAGTTATTTTTTCTATTAATGGTAGATAAATCACGTGGAAAACAAATTGGAGTTGAAAAAATTATAGATTACGTTGTCGATCGCGTAATTCGTAATTAATATAATAACGTCTAATTTATACATTAAATAAATCAAGGTAAAATAATGCCATTAATTTTTATGAAAATATTCAAGATCTCTTAATATAACAATATTTAACATAAATTAAAAGGGCGAAGAGTCAGAAGTAAATTACATTTAAAATAATATTAAAATGTTAATATATTTACAATAGAAATATTACAAAAAATTGCTAAAAATTAAAAATATGATGTCCGTTACTTAAAATTAAAAACATGCTGCGCGTAACAAAATTGTACAATTAAGTGTCGCTTAAAATTAAATAATGTTGTAAAACTCTCAAATGAAAACAATTAACCTTGAAGCAGAACAACACATGGATGTGACAAGGATGCATTCAATTCAGATGTAGCAACCTCATTTATTTCTAAGCAATTGGCAAGCCTACCCGTCGAACTGTATTCAGACGCGAAAGTAGGCGTGGTTTCCGAGTTCTGCACACGCTATTGTTATCCTTCCACCATGGTGTGCCAACAACTGGAATGAGCTAGAAATGATCTGTGAGCGATATCAAAATGGCAGCGCTTGCAATTATCTTTTGCAATGCTGTACAAGCATTGAAAAATTATTCCTCGGATACAAACACGGATTACAGTTCGGACGAAGAATGGCAGATAATAAGAAAAATAAAACGTAAAAAAAATGATCGCATAAAAAATTATGTGCAAATTGTTGTTGCACGCTATGAAGATTACGAATTTAAAAGTCATTTTAGGTTAGAATATAACAGGTATTTTATATATATATATTTACTATTTAAATGTATACCTATTCATACTTCTAATTATTTTTTTTTTATTCCTTATTTAATAGTGTTTATACTCTATTATCTATTTCATTTTTAATTATATTCTTATAATAGATATCTTATTTTCAGATTATGTAGAAGTACCTTCGAACATACCATATTTTAACTATAATTAACATTAACCTTGTTTGGAAAATACCCGGTTATCAAACAATTCCACCTCGTGAACAGCTTATGATTGCTTTGTGGAAAATGGCTACAATGGATTCTTATAGGTACTATTCATTTTAATGCATATATTTTTGCTTTTAATATATATAACTTGATTCATTTAAAACTTATGTATACAGACGGTGGATCTTATGAGCAGTGTGGTGCAGTGTTTACTATGTTTAGTCTCATATACGACAATACTTAAAAATTGACATTTTGTGATTGACATATAATAAAGTAGACGTGGTACACACATGTTTAATTTGTAAAAAGCGATCAGACAAATCGCAAGATTTGTCGTTCCATCGGTGAGTAATAAATTGTGAATACAATTTGATTAAGACCGATTAAGTTATTCATTACATACTCGAAACTTTTGTCAATTTTGGGTTATTACTTTCAACTATAGATTCCCGTCAAATTCTATTATTCGACAACAGTGGCTTATCGTTGGAAACTTGAAACGAGTAACAGGAAGAAATACATTTGTCCGTTCGAGCCATTTTGAGAGCGAATGCTATCGCTATGGACTGGTCAATGGAAAAAAATTTTTGAAACCAGAGAGTAAACCAACTTTAAATCTTGGAACTGAAACTTCTTCACTACAAATTCATAATAATAATTTGCTACAAAACAAACGTATCAAACAAAAATGCAACCAAGTATAAGTGAGTTGGTCATATCGAGGAAGTAAGTATATTAAGTATGTTTAATTTTTTGCTAATATAGAGTACGTTTAATTTTTCTTACTTATTTGCAATTCTAAATAGAGACTTAGATTAAATTAATTTTTCTATCGTAATTACATTTATACCTATACATCGCTCTTTATGATTGACTATATATACTTATAAAACATTGATTTAAAAAACCGCTTGCATTTTTTAAGGTCTCTTTATGTAGTAGTATTCTTTTATGTTAGTAGTTTTGTTGAATAATATATAATTTTCGAAATATAACATCTAAGTATAATATGTATGTGTTTTATAGACGAGAAACACCATTGGCTGAAGTTATTTCTACAAAGAAGATAAGAAATCCGACTAACTGGTATAACATCGGAAGAACTTTCCAAGTCATTAACGTAAGGCAAAAATTGTGTGGGAGACAATACAAGAAGAGCTATTAAATCGTGGAAAAATGATTGTAATTACATTTATACCTATACATCGCTCTTTATGATTGACTATATATATTTATAAAACATTGATTTCAAGAATCGCTTGCATTTTGTAAGGTCTCTTTATGTAGTAGTATTCTCTTATGTTAGTAGTTTTGTTGAATAATATATAATTTTCAAAATATAACATGTAAGTATAATATGTATATGTTTTATAGACGAGAAACACCATTGGCTGAAGTTATTTCTACAAAGAAGGTAAGAAATCCGACTAACTGATATAACATGGGAAGAACTTTCGAAGTCATTAACGCAAGGCAAAAATTGAGTGGGAGACAATACAAGAAGAGCTATTAAATCGTGGAAAAAAGATTGTAATTACATTTATACCTATACATCGCTCTTTATAATTGACTATATATACTTATAAAACATTGATTTAAAGAACCGCTTGCATTTTTTAAGGTCTCTTTATGTAGTAGTATTCTCTTATGTTAGTAGTTTTGTTGAATAATATATAATTTTCGAAATATAACATCTAAGTATAATATGTATGTGTTTTATAAACGAAGAAAAGAAACACCATTGGCTGAAGTTATTTCTACAAAGAAGATAAGAAATCCGACTAACTGATATAACATGGGAAGAACTTTCCAAGTCATTAACGCAAGTCAAAAATTTTGTGGGAAACAATACAAGAAGAGCTATTAAATCGTGGAAAGAGGATTTAGTGTTTAGAGCGTAAAGTTCGCCGTACGAAGCAGAAGATTTTGACCTTCAAATCGTTTATGAAAGATTTATTGAAGAAGAATTGATTAGTAGAAAATGAAATAGAATTTATTAGTAGAAAACTTCTGCATGTAAGTAATAAAAAGTATATCCAGGTGACCAACATATAATCGTGAAGAACGCAATAAACATAACGAATTATACTGTAAGTTTATTTTATTTTTTATTTTTTATTCACAGAAATGAACAAAGCGAATTAATTTGAAAGTTACTATTCAAACTTAGTGATTTTTATTATATTATTTCTTTTTTATGGTTCTATTTATGGCTGTTTCCACCAATGCAGATTAACTTTAATCTCGGTTTAACTTACTGTTAATCTTTTTCTAATTTTTAGAATTAGAAATAGATAAAGAGCAAATTGACTCGTAAACTCTTTCTCTCTTTATTATTAGTTTGAAAAGCTCTATTATGTAGTATAACGATTGATGAATAGAAAACGCGTACGCTGGAATAGAAAAAGATATATAGTGATGGTAAAAGCAAAAACACTGTAATGACATAATTCAAGCTATGGTGGTGATGATTGTTTGTCTAAATGAGCATTGGAAAATTCCCATGAGTTACTATCTTATCAATAGTTTAAACGGAAAAGAAAGAGAACGGCATATATCCCAGTGTTTGACGAATTTGCATGAAATTGGAATCAATAAACTTCATTAACGTTTTGATGGAGCACAGAGTAATATAAGGATGGCTAAAGAATTACGTGCAGAATTCAATTTTACGGAAAAGGCAAGCATACATTTTCCACATCTCGTTACCAAGGAGCCAATTTTTGTAATTATTGATGTCTGCCACGCTATTAAATTAATTCGTAATAATACATTAGCTCAGAGAAAAGTTTTGTACATAGTAAAGGTGATGTTATAGAATGGAAATATTTTGAGCTTCTTGTAAGACTGCAATATCACTATAATCTATACTTAGGCACGAAAATCAGAAAACGCCATTTAAACTGGGCCCAGGAAAAAATGAAAGTTAAATTGGCAACACAAACATTCAGTGCAAGTACAGCTCATGCGTTAAGTATTTTCTAACAATTAAATGTATTTTCTATTAATTAAATGTAGCATTTAGAATATGTTTACTATAATTTTTAAATTATCATTACCCTTACATATATTTGTATTAATTATTATAACAAATAATAGAATCTCATTTTTACGACCGTACAATTGTTAAACAATAACAAGAAAGAAGGACGCACAAAGCAAAGCCTATCACGGTCAAAGCTAGATCAAGATGCTTATTATCATTATGTGTGAATTTATATATCGCGTATGTAGTTCAATCGCGTGCCGAACATTTTCTTCAGACTTACAACGCAACTCTAAATAACTACCGCGGTAATATCACTTTAGTTAGATTGATAATCAATCTAACAAATTTCGATGCTTATAGCATCTTATTAGATCTTAATAATATGTTGAAAGACATATATTGAAATTTAATATTAAAGTAATGATAATTGAAAACTGTGAAAAATAAGATTGCGAAGAATATCACAAGTTGGCGTTCCGTCCCGGCTTCCACTACTGGACTCATCAGTAAGGTAATGTAGTGGGAGCCTACCTTAGACGCCGGTGTAAGTTATTAAATCGAGACTCTATATAAAGAGACATACGTGTATCCATCAGAGGTCTATTCAATTGATATTCGTTAAATTTCTCGCAAGTGCTGAGATAATAAATATTGAAAGATAATAAAATAACATGAAAAATGACTCATATATTATTGAAGGTGCCAGGTTCATCAAAGTAAACATACACCAACA